ACACCAGACCTTGAGAATATGCTGATCTGGAATGGCTCTGTGTCTCATTTGAACCATCCAATAGAAATGATTCTGTATTTCGCCTCATTTGAAAGACTCTGTGTTTCACCTCATTTGAATAACTCTGTACTGCGCCTCATTTGAATAACCCTGTATAGCGCCTCATTTACATTGACCAATGGGAATAGCTCTGTACAATGCCTCATTAGAATTATCCAATAGAATCCCTGCTCCTAGCTTGCGCCTTTTTCCCTATATAAGGACCCCTTTCCCTTGGCTCGGGGCGCTTGGCCTCACAGAAGCTAAGTCGCCCGGGTACCCGTATCTCCAATAAAGCCTCTTGCGGTTTTGCATCCAAGTTCGTGGTCTCGCTGATTCCTGGGTGCGGGTCTCCTTCTACGAAAGTACCTCTTCGGGGGGGTCTTTCAGTGTGTGTGTGTGTGTGTGTGTGTGTGTGTGTGTGTGTGCACGTGCGCGCACATGTGCACGGGGAGGCCAGAGATTGAAGGTTGGGTCTTCCTCAACTCTCCGTGTCACTTCTTAGCAAAATCTCTAAGGAACCTGGAGCTTACCTATTCAGTGAGACTGGTTGGCCAGAAAGTATTAAGGATCCTTCTTCCTCTGCCTCTCAAGTGTAGAGATGACGGTAGTGTGCCACTGCACCTGGCTTTTTTATGTAATTTCTGAGGGCTCAAATTCAGATTCTCAAACTTATACACAAGCACTTCAGTGACTGAGCTATCTCCCTAGGCCTGTCTCCCTGCCAATTCTTTCTTTCTTTAAAATACAAAGTTTCATTGTGCAACTCAGGCTGTCCTAGAATTCTTGCTATGTAGCCCAAGCTGACTTCAAATTCACAATTCTCCTGCCCTAGCTTCCAGAAAGTTAAAATTAAAGGTGTAATCCCATCGTCATACAGAATTTAAAAAACAAGTTATTGCCTACTATGGCCTCAAACTTACTATCTTTCTACACTAGCCTTCTAGGTGCTAGGATTACAAATATGAGCCACTACACCAGGCAGAATACAGACTTTTGAAATCTACTACTTTAGCCTTCTAATTCCATATCTTGGTATCATCAATTACTTACATATCAGGAAAGTCTAGCTTTCACCAGATAGAGAAATAAAAAGTTTTCCGCTCTACTCCCACCTTCCTCAAATACAATCAGTATCATGTCCAACAATACTTATGATATAAAGCTGTATTCAAATAAAGTAAATCTAAAATAAATAATGGTATCTAAGTGGGAATAAAAATTTTAGCAGTTTATTCTTCCAACTCATTGACTTCAGCTTTTAAGTGGCTACATTCAGACCTAACATGAACAGAAAGGGAACAAAAATTTTTTAAGATAAGAAAGCAATGACATATACATACCTATGAGTAGAATAATCTTTAGTGTTGATGGGTGTCCTGGAGTTTAACTGCTCGGGTGCCGATGGATCGGCTAATGTTTCTAATCGCTGACAGAGCATCACATTTCCTTGACTAAGTTGTTGAACCAAATTTTCAAGTTGCCAATATGTATCCCAATGTCTTCTCAATTCAATTTCATATGATAACTGCACAAGCTCAAATGATGCCTTCTGTTTTATCAACTGATTTAAAACAAACTCTTGTTTTCCTGTATAATAATCTTGTTTAGCAATCTGCAGATCAAAATCTCCCTTTACAATTGGCATGTTCAATAACTGGGCATTCTCTTTTACCACAGCAGACAGAATTTTGTCTTTCATATGAGTGATTTCTTCTTCAAGTTTTAGAATCTCACTGTTCAAGCTAGAAATTTTAGCATCCAAATTTTCTTCACCAACTGCCTAGACAATGAAAGCAATAACATTTTAAATTGTAGGTTTAAATTCTTATTTTAAAATTATTTTCACTTTTTGTTTTAGGTGGTCAGATAATATGCTCAATGAATGAAAACTAACTTATTAGTATAATGCAAAACTAGTTTTAAATGGGAAAATATAAGCCGGGCATTGGTGGCACACGCCTTTAATCCCAGCATTCGGGAGGCAGAGGCAGGCGGATCTCTGTGAGTTCGAGACCAGCCTGGTCTATAAGAGCTAGTTCCAGGGCAGCCTCCAAAGCCACAGAGAAACCTTATCTCGAAAAAACCCCCCCCCCCAAAAAAAAAAAAAAAAAAAGGGAAAATATGGACTAACTCAAGAGAAAAGCCAGTAAGCCAGTAAGATCTACTGAACTTCACAGTACCTTTACACTATATATGTATACAGTAATGGTTGACTGGATCTCATTATTATCCTAATCATAACTTTATCAGCATATTACTCATTGTTAACAAATGAAGATTTTAGTTTTTCTTAAAATTATCTCAATAGGTATTTTCTTGGTCCATTAGCTGATTACAGCACACAGATTTATCAGATTTCTTTTATTATTTCAAAATTTTTGTTTGTTGTAGTAACTAATTTAATGCAGGTATTGTGAATCAGAAAAATCTACATTTTTAATTCAACTATCTAGTGGTTACATTATCAAGTAAGCAAGCTTCCAAAGATTACAGATGAAAAACAAGGCAGAATAACCACAATCAAGCAAGTAGTCTCTTTGGCATATATCATAAAATGGAAACTCCAGTTTAATTTGTATTTGAAATGACACAAATTTCAAATGCAAATTAAGACATTTTGGTTCATAATTAACCAGACAGTATGATTGAAGATAAAATTACTAAGATCTGGTAATATGATTAATAATAATTTGTATGAAACACATACTGCAAATAAGTATTGAGCAGATATAAAACTAAAATTAGATTCCTCTTTCTAAAGTAGTAGCAATATTAAATCTTATATGTCTAACAATTACAATGCCAATTATTTCTTATATTTACCTCGATGGTTAGGCTATGAAGATTCTCTTCTGCCCATTTTACACTTGACTTCATGCTTGAATTACTTGCTTTAAAGTATATGATCTGTTGTTGGGCACAGATGTATGCAGTCTGCAGCCTAGCCATCTCCAGTCGTCTCTCCCCAAGGATTTCTTCATTATCACAAATAGATGGTGTTTGTATATCTAAGAGCTGAAAATTTTCTTCATTTGAACTTTCAACTACTTCATGTATACCCTGAAAGAATTGCTTTTTGGTATATAAGGTTAAGGCTCCTGTGCTCTGCTCTTCTTGTCTTATATATTTTTCCAAGGAAAACTGAGATAAAAATACTGGATTTGTCCCTTGACCTAAATTAGAATGTCTGAAGAATATTATCAAATTATTAACTCCCTCAATAAGAACATGAAGTTCATTACTGAGCTTAGTAATCACAGCATTTAGGAATCTTTGACTTTGTTTCATCTTCTTAGTTGCTTCCTCTTGTTTAGCATTTAATGTCAGAGATTTGTAGCTAGTTTCAGAAGCCATTAACTGGTAGTTATTCCATCGCTGAATTTTTAAGTTATTTAATTTCTGCAGAATTTGAACCTCATCCTCTAACTTCTGTATCTCTTTGTCATCCAGTGTAGGTGTCTTCAAATCAAAAGTCTTACAGGTTCTAAGAACTTCATCCAACGCTGTTCCTTCTAGGATGGGCTTGCCTGACCTTTGAAGAACACTGAAATCTTCCAATTCTTTTTCAGATAATACATTCTGTTCATTCACATTCCCACAAAACCATTTCAAAAACGACTCAAAGTCCACATCATCAAACAGCCAGTCAAAATCTTCTCCATTAAGAATATCAGCTTTAGGATAACCAATTTTTTTCAGTGTTTCCACAAACTCCTTTCCACAACTCATGGTTTAACTACCCTGTTTCTTATATTTGATATGAATCTATGGTAATGATTTTTAAAAACTAAGTTCAAACAGAAAAAAACATATTTACACCAAGTCCATAGAAGAAAGGGCAAAAAAAAATTACAATCTATAATGTGTTTTCCTAGAGGGAAAGAAAACAAGTATTAGACCACAAACAAGGCAAATGCATTTTGAATAAGCAGATAATTTTATCAGATGACATCAGGGAGCTACCAAATAAAAGGCAGATGCAGGTTCGTTTACTGACGAAAATAGAGCAAAACATTAGCAATTAGGGCATTTCGTAGGACACTGCAACAGTAATGAAAACCTAATTAATGAAAATGTAACAATGAAAAACCTTATTTTTTGCAATGATGAAATTATTTAAAATACACTACATTTTGTAAAATAGTAGTTGTTTTCCCCTGTCGTTTCTAGTAAGGAAATAGAAACATGCCACTTATTTGAGGAAGATCCAACTAATTATTTACCTCAACCAGCATTCATCAGGTTCAAACGACTCAATCTCCAGAGAGAACCAGCCTAAAAAGAAAAATACCAGGGCAAACTGACAAGTTTCAAAGTACCCAGCAGTCATCAAGCAAAACAGTACTATTTTCACCCAGCGTACAATGATCCACGACTTGAGACAAACGAAGGTCAGTGGCAACCGCAGGTCTTAAAATCTCGATACATTTGACACTCTGGCAACAAAATCTCTGGGCTAGTTTTTGTTTGTTTCTAGAGTATCCAGTTAAGACACTTGAGATCCCTAATAAAACACACCCACAAAACCCCCTAATTGCTGTTTTTAAAAATGTTTTTAAAAGGATAAGGGTATATTTCAGGTTTAACGCTTGCTTTGTATGATTGAGGCCTTGGGTTTTATCGGCAGCACCCGAAAAAAAAAATTACCAACTCTAACCGGGTGACTGGACAAGCAGCTCCACCCTGACCCACCGCACGAAGCCTCAGCTTCCCGCGCACCCCACGCCAGGGCCCAGTAATCTCTATCGACGCCTGAAGCTGGCTGGAAGAGGGTAGAGGCGGCATCGCCAGCCCTTTACCTCAGGGTGCTCCCGCCAGCGTTCTCAGCTGCCTCCAACCGCGCGCGTCGCAGTGCCTCACGGGAGTGCTGGGGCGCGCACGCGCAGAGAGCATCAGCGGTAATGTCTGCGCAGGCGTGGTATAGCGGAGAAGCTGTGGAGGAACTGCTGACCTACCCCCCGCCCCCATGGAGCCAAGAGCCAGGTGATTGGTTCTCCTGCCAGACGCATTGC